ATATATATATATATATATATATATATATATATATATATATATATATAACATGTCTGGCTCTTATGGATTTAATGGAACAGGTTACTACAGCGATAGATGAGAAGCAATATTGTGTAAGTCTATTTGTTGATTTGAAAAAGGCTTTTGACACCATTGATCACACTATTTTGCTTGAAAAATTGAAACAATATGGTATTAGAGGTCTAGCCATACAGTGGATATCTAGCTATTTAAACAGAAGAAAACAGTTTGTACAGATTGATGAGGTTAGATCTGGTTTGTGTAATGTCTCATGTGGAGTACCTCAAGGTTCAGTTCTTGGGCCTAAGCTGTTTATTTGGTATGTAAATGATTTAGTTAAGGTGTCTAGTATTCTCAAGTGTGTTTTATTTGCAGACGATACTACTTTCTTTTGTTCGGGTAAAGACTTAAATCAGATGTTTGAATTAATGAAGATTGAGTTTGTAAAAATTTATACTTGGTTTAAATTAAATAAATTATCACTTAATCTAGAAAAAACAAATTATATGATATTTAGTAAAAAAAAAGCCATCTGTAGATTTTCCTTTCGAAATTGATGGTGTTGTGATAGAAAGAGTGAGTGAAGTAAAGTTTCTGGGAGTGATTATAGATGATAAATTGACATGGAAAAAACATATTAATTTTATAAGAACTAAAATTTCCAGGTCTATAGCAATGCTACATAAAGTACGAGAATTTCTGACTGATAAAGCATTGTGTCTACTGTACAATACAATTGTTGTGCCACATTTGATTTATTGTGTTGCTATCTGGGGTACAGCTTGTAAAACTGCAACCAAGTCTATTTTTATTTTACAAAAAAGAGTTATAAGAGTTGTCGCAAAAAAGCATTATTGCCATCCTTCAAGTATTTTGTTTTATCAACTGAAAATTCTTAATTTTATGATTTGGTGGATTACAATATTCTATTATTTATGTACAAGGCTCAGAACCTAAATTTACCATCAAACATACAAGTGTATTTCGTTAAAAGGAATAGTTGTTATAATTTAAAGGGAACAGATATTTTTGTAAAGATGAAATATAGAACAAGTTTTAAGGGTAGGTCTACTTCGATTAAGGGAATTAGTTTATGGAATGGTTTGGATAATGATATCAAAAAGGAGAATTCATTAGTTGTATTTAAAAAAAAGATTAAGAATGTATTGATGATGAAATATATTTAAGTTGGATAATGGTATGGAATTATAATGAATTGTGATAAGTTTTTTGGTTGGTTGTATTATGTATTGTTTGAATAGATCGTTTTGAATTGATATTGTTTAGAAGGAGCAGAAATTATAAGAATTCGTTCTTCTTCTGCTGCCTTTCATTTTATATGTATCTTATTTTATTTGTATGGAATAAGTCTTGTTTCAACTGAAATGAATGAATGAATGAATGAATGAATATATATATATATATATATATAT